GCTTCGGCTATCAGCGCCGCTGGGATCCGCCCCCAAGGCGTGCGCTCCGATTGGTCGGCGCGGTAGCAGGGCGAGGCCAACTCTTAAAGGTCCAGGAACTAAGCATATCGGGAGGAGGCGGTGGCCGCTGGGAAATCTAGTGAGATGATGCTTCGTGGCCACATGGGTTTCTTTCAAACCTGTGTAAAGCCCATATCCTAGTGGACCATGGAGCCCACAAGAGCCTATCCACTTTTCGGGGGCGCCTTCTCCGCTATCTTTCCGGGTGGGGCCATTGATGTAAGGTGAGAAAGCCCAGGCGCCAGTGGAGGCCGACTGGGTGGGTTACGGGAAGAAGCCAGAATCAACCAGTGACTGCCTCGCCCCTTCCCAGTGACCTCCGACCGGTCCCGGACAACCAGGAAGTTTTCTGCCATCCCAGTACTGACCAGAGCCTGATCGTGGAACTTCTGGAGCTGCAGGCCCACGTGCAGGGTGAAGCGGCTGCGCGGTGAGGAAGGGGCTGACCAATGGGAGGGCCGGAGCCGAGGAGGTAGGCGGGGCCTGTGCTGGAAGGTTCTCCCGATGAGAACTCTAAGGGCAATAAATACTGAGCGGACCAAAGTGAGCTAAAGATGCTTGGGGGTGGTGGTGGCTTGAGAGGTTCCCCTCTCTCTGCTGTCCCAATTCAGGTATCATTTTGAGGACGTTGGCCGGGTGCAGGGGTCTAGGGTCCTGCAAGTGGAGTCTGTGCAGCCCCTGAATCTGGAGAACCTGGCCTTGAGGGGCTGCTGTCAAGAAGCCTGGGTCCTCTCTGGCAAGCAGCAGGTAGCTAAGGAAAACCAGCAGGTGAGGGCCAGGGATATGAGATATCCTGGAGCGTGGAGGGGGTAGGCTAGGGGTCCAGGTAAACGTCCTGACTCTGATCTCTTAGGTAGCAAAGGATGTGACACTGCATCAGGCCTTGCTGCGAGTGCCTCGGTACCAGACCGATCTCTTGGTCACCTTCAACCAACCCCCGTAAGGAGGAGAGGGCGGGTGCTTTGTGTCTGGATCGAGGCTGGATGGGCAGAGCAGGGAGATTGGTAGTGGGGTCCTCCAAGGAGTAGAAAGGGGCCAAATGCTTGGGGTCACAGATGCCTGCATCCTCCGGGGAACAGGAAGTGGGAACTTACAAACCTCAAGCTTGGATGCTGTTCTTTCTCCCTTTGTTCCCTCACCCCCAAGCCCTGACAACAGGTCATCTCTTGGCCCTGAAAATCCATCATCTCCTTCCTGGAACCTGGGTGACTTTGAACAGCTGGTGACCAGCCTGACCCTTCATGATCCTAACATCTTTGGTCCCCAGTGAAGATGCTGAAGCACTGCAGAATGCTGCTAAGTATTTAGGGATACAATTCTGGAAGGGAGAAAAAGAGGTTGAATACCTGGGTTTCCTCTTACTTCTTCCCCGTGGATAAACAGAAGACATCTCTCTGCAGAAATAAACTTTTATAATCAATATAATTTCTATGCCTTTGAATAACAGGACACCTGGGTTCCCCAATTCCCTTTGGCCTTGGAGGAGGAAGTTTAAAGCTGTTCATGGGAGTATTAGAGACCCAAGACTGGCAATAAAAAGAGGGAGGAAATACACTTTGGAGCGAGTGGTTCAGCCCTGAGAGAGGAGTGTGAAGTGTACAAGGATGGTGGAAATGAGAGAGCAACATCTAAGTGAGGGAAGGAAACTACTATTTGTGATTCAACCCTGAGAGAACAGATGGGGAGTGGGGTTGGCTGTCCCCTTTGCATGATCAGTAACATGGTGAGTAGTCACCAAGATATGGCAGTGGAGGCAAAGTGTCAACCTGGTGGAGGGTGGGTAAGTGGCTATTATTTAGTGTATGTATGGTAGAGGAAGCGTAGTTGGTCCCAGAAGAAGAGGGAGAGGATGGTATGGGGGCCAAGGCGGAAGTAAGAGGCGCCTATACCCTTGTACATGCCAAAAATGCCCTCTTTCCGAGCTGTCTGCAGCAGAGCGTCCAGGATCCCCCGGTACATGAGGCCCTGGATCATGTTGGAGAGGAAGGGAGAGCACAGGAAAGGATCTTGTCAGAGCCCTTACCCTTGCAGGCTGCATTTGAGTCTGTCCCACCTGTACCCACAGTGTGGTCCCTCCACCCCTAGCTTTCCTTGCCTGCCTGCACCCTGGAGCACTCCCTTACCTTGCCCTGAACGTCTGTGGGCTGGTTATAGAGCCTTGTGCTGGCTACATCAAAAGGTGTCATGGAGAGGACTACTGCGATGCCACTCACCATGGCAGCTGCCAGAGCCACCTTCCAGCTCTGGGGAGGAAAGATCTACAGGATAAAAGAGGAGGAAGAACTTTGTCAATCAGCCAATCATTCAACCCCTAAAACCGGACAGACTGTGCCCTGGGGATACTGAGAGCTGTAAGTCAGCTTTTACCCCACCAGTTATAACACAATGTGACAGCTCAGTGAAGGAGGAAGCCAGTGTACCCTAAAGGCTCAGGTATCCCTTATGGGAGTGACGAGAACTGTAGGAAGAGTCCCCAAGCCCTCCTGTTGCTCCCACACATCTGGACATTGGCACTGTCCCTTCAAGGGCCCACCTCCATTTTGCCTACCCGTCCCTCCTTCCCAGGCATGGCCCACCCGCTTCCCTGGCAGTACCTCCCAATGGCTCAAGAGGTCCTTGGTGGATGAAAAGGTGCACAGCTGGGTGGAGGAACCGATGACAACTCGGGGGAGGCCGCCCAGGGCCCCACGCCACAACCCCACCAGTCCATGTTTCTGGCCAATCTCGGTTAGTGCCTGAAACATGCCCTGGTAGGGGGAAGACCATGGGGACAGAGTTTAGTCACCTCAACATCAGGGCTGCCACCCCCTAACACTGTCAAGGACTGAGCCTTAGCACACCTCTTATCCAGATCCAGACAACCAGTCCAATGTGAGTTTAGAACCGGAATGTGGGCCCTCAGTTGTCTACAAGCCCTTGCCAGCCCAGAGTAGGGAAGGGAGGACATTGCTGGGGTAAAACAAATGGGGCAGGAGAAACAGCTGCAGAAGATATGAGGAACAAGCACACATGAAGGTCTAGGTGGGCTCCAGGGGCAGAGTGGGACTTCACTGATGGGCTGGGTAGAGCAGTGGCCAGGGTTAGAGCTGCTGGGTGCAGGCAGAAAGCTGGGAGGAAATGGAAGAGGGTATTGAGCACTCCAGCAAGTCTGGGGACCTCTCACCTTATGCTTATACTGGTGCCCTACTGCAATTTCAGATGCTGCTTGTGCCTGAAGGTGTGTCTTCACCTGGAAACAAGAGAGTGTCACAGCCCATGCCCCACTGGCCATCTTCCCATTTTAGAGACCCCCTCAGACTTCCTTTACAGTGTTAAGCAATTAATACCCTTTTAATCTGATAATTATTGTTGTTCCCACTTAATAAATTGGTCATGAGACTCTGTGTCCCTTGGCTCCAGTCCCAGGGGACAGATCTCCTAGTACTGCAAGATATCCTACCCCCTCCACATCCTCTTTCCCTTGGGCGCTGGGGGTGGGGAGTGGAGAGGCTGGAGAATGGCAGTATTTCCTAAGACTTCATGTTAGGCAAGACCCAGGTGCCAGGCCTCTCATGCCAGCTCCTATTCCCAGACCAGAGCTGCTACCACCTTGACCAGGTTCTATCAAACTGGCCAAAATGTGCTCTTTGGCCCCCAGGACTCACAGGGGTAGGTATGTGTTCAGCTGACTTTGGAGTGCCTTTTAAAATTTTTATTTTTATTTTTTGAGATGGGTCTCGGTTGATCCTCCCACCTCAGCTGCTGTAGCTGGGACTATAGGTTTGTGCCATCATACCTGGCTTAAGCTGATTTGAAAAGGCCCTGAAGCTCACAACTTGGGAGCAAGACCATGTTGATTCTCCTACAGAACACTTTGCCTCCTGCTCTTTTAGCTGCACTAATCAGGGCCTACTTCCAGCAATAAGCAGCTGTGTGACTTTCAGTTGATTACTTCATTTCTCTGGGCTTTGGGCTCCCAACACTTCGCTTATATCTGATAACTCAAAAGAGCAAACTGTACAGTTATAATTATGTAATACTCAGAACCTTTCTGACGCTTACACTTGCCGATGAACGTTACTCAGATTCCTCATGCTCATCTATACAAATCCAACCTCACAATCAGGTATTAACCTAAGGCAGTAGCAGCAACACTATCAAATGCTTACTATTTGCCAGGATTTATACTAGTGGTTTACATGTGTTACCTCATTCTGATCTTCTCAATAACCACAGAAAATGTATTATTCACTTATCCCCATTTTACAGATGTGGTAACTGAAGCTTAACAATGAGTTAATTTTCTTTTTTGTTTTTGTTTTTTGAGACAAGACCTCCCTATGTAGTTCAGGCTGGCCCTGAACTCACTATATAGCCCAGACTTGCCTTGAACTTGCAGTGATCCTCCTGCCTTAGCCTCCTTCGTTCTGAGATTACAGGTCTAGGCTACCATGCCTGGGTGAATGAGTTAATTTTCAAAGACAGAATCTGAATTCTAGAAAGGCTGATTCAAAAGGCCATAATCTTTATCAATACATTTGATTAAGTCCATTGGATGGATGTGTATAGGGCAGATCAGAAGGCCCTAAATCCTGCCAGCATTTTCCTAATGTCCTTTCTTGCTTGCAAGGGGCCAGCATCCAGCTGCCAATGCCCTTGTGAAGGACCAGGCTCCCACTCTACACGAAGGCTCCACCCCAAAGGCCCCAGCAAGACCCCTCTTCTTACCATGTAGATGGGGCTTCCCAAATAGGCTCCCGTGACCCCAGCCAAGGCCCCAGCTGCTGCACTGCGGACAGGACTGTGAATGCCTTCGGCCGTGTGCAGGTAACCACTAGAATCGGCCAGCCCGTAGGTACCCAGTCGGATGCCATTCATCAGGAACTGGTACACAAGTGCAGGGCCCAGGCCCTTCTGTAGGGCAGCCAGGCCATCCACCTTCCCGATGGTGAAGAAGGCATGGAAGACGTTTCTGTAGTGCCGCTGGTAGGTGCCTGGGGCCTGCAGTTCTCCCTGCAACTGCATCCTGGTCTTCACAACCTCTAGGGGATTGGTGAACACACAGGCCCCACAGGCTGCCAGACCACTCATCAAGAAGTCCATGGTGGGACAGCAGTAACCTCGGAATGGGGAGTGGGAAATCAGAGGAGGACCTCAGTTTCTGCAGTCCACACTGCAAGAAGTAGGAATTTAGAGCTCTGGAATCAAGTGTCACAGTCAAATGTCAAGAGGTCAAGGGTGAGCTGGAATTTGGGAGTCGGGAGCTGGCAAAGAGGAAAGAGATGAGTGCAGGGCACTCTGGCAAGAAGGTTATGACAGGGCTGTTGGCAAAGAAATTTGAGGTCAAGGAGGGGCAGAAGTCAGGAGCTGACAGGTAGGATGCTGGGGCTGGCAGGCCGAGGGGGGAGGGCGAGTAGAGAGGGAAAAGAGGAGCTGGGAGATAGGAAGCCAGAGAGGCAGGAAAAAGAAAACCAGTAGGAAGAAAAGGATCCGGGAGAAGAACCGGTAGTGTCCCTGGGGCAGCAACGACAGCTGGATCGGGAAGGCGTTGGGACTTTGGCCCGTGATGAACGTCCCGAGGTAGCTACCCAAGCCCGGAGCACCCTCTACCTGGGTTGCCTGCGAAGGCCAGGCAGCCACATTCCAGTCCCTGGAGCCGGGCGCCAATGGGGACCCTAGTAGAGCCGCAGCCAAGAGCCTCGGCCAATCAGAATCGAGCCGGCTTCGTGGCCAATGGGAGGCGTTCTGGGTGATCCAGCCCTCGGGAATCCGAGGAGGCTCTTACCGTACAATTAACTCTCCCTGCCCTGGTGCGGGGTCTGGAGGAGGACTCGGTCTGCGGAGGGGCTCCCGGGGCTCGGAGGTTCTGTCACTGGCGGGGAGAAGACGCTGGACCCTGGGTTCATGGGCCGATGCAGAGGTTGAGCGCAGAGACAGCAGCTGAGGGCGTTTGGCTCCCTTCTTTCGCCCTGTATCCCAGGTCCTCTCGGCCTGGGATTGCCTAACTTCGTCCGCGCCCTGCCCAGTCTGGGCGCCGGGAGAGCCCGGAAGCTACGGCCCTGCCCTGAACAGACCTGCCCGATCGGCCCTTTCTCCCGAGGCGGAATGAAACGTGTGTAGGTTCTTGTGCCGGGATGTGGCCTACCGAGGGCTCCGGGGACGTAAACCTGAAGGTCAGCGGGAGAGCCTCATCCAATTCTTCAGCTCATTTGATCCTCACAGCAGCGTGGAGGAGGAGGCAGGGCAGGGATTTTGATTCCCTCTACAGTCAGGCGTGCGTTACAGAGAGCCCACAAATAGTGAGAGATTAATTATCTGGACTGGTTCTTTCTCATGATTCTGGTTAATCACGGAAAAAACTTCCTGGAAAAGAGACTGAGAAACTAGTTGGGAAGGATTTGAGAGAAAAGGTTTAAAAAAAGGAGATGGTATCTCGGGCCGGAAGAAGAGGCAGAAGGCTCCCTTCCTGCTTACAGTCTGGACGACTGGGCAAATTGCTTAACATCTCAGAGCCCCCTTGCAAAATGAAAACGATAATGCCTGTTACACACACTCCGGAAGAAGTGTCGGACTTGTCTTAGGTGGTCAATAATAAGCTTTCTTGAAAAGTCAGAACTGTGTGCCACTTCCTGACATGTCCCTTTCCCATCTTCTGGGGATTCCAAGTTACTTTTCACCTTGCATCACCTCCTGTCTCAGGAAGCTACTCACATCCTGTTACCGGGTTTTTGGGTGCTGAAATCTCTTTCTGGAGGTCGTTTCTAGGTTCTTTCTATCCTGAACAAAGAATTGGTCAAGACAAGCACAAATGGTAGCAAAGTTTTATTAAAGGAAGATTTACAGTCTAATGGGCCAATAATAGCCCAGGTTCTGTGTAAGACAAGGAATTGCCAAGCATGTATACCCAATAGTAAGTACCTATGCTTATTGAAGATCAGGGGAAGGTATCAGCAGGAACATGGAAAAGGGAAAAGTGTGTGTGTGGGGGGTTGTAACTCAGGCTTTTAGCATTTAAGGCCAGATACCTCTAGCCTTAAGTGCCTCCCACTGAATCTCACAGGTACCTATAGCTTGCAGTCGCTTAGACTTTTGCTATATTACTTTTTATCTCTCTTCGGCTATTAGAAGCATGTATAACTATAGGGTGGAGGGAAGGGAGTGACTAACTCAGCTCCTTTGTTTCTAACTGTACTAGTAGGAAATGAGGAAACGAAACAGGCTCTGCAGAGCAAGTTTGGGCCAAGTAAAAGTTGGAAAAGAAGCACACCCTACAGCTTAAGTGCAGGCCACCAAGGAAGAGCAAACCTAGTGACAAAAACTCAGTGTGGGTTGTCGTTTTTTGTTCTTGTTTTTTTTTTTTTTTTTTTTTTTTTTTTTTTTTTTGTACCGGGGATCAAACTTGGATCTTTTCGCTTGCTAGGCAGGCAGCAGAGCCTCTGAGCTAAATCTGGCCTGGGGTTGTTGTTTTTATGTAACCTACTCCTCAGGTTGACCTCTGGTCTAGGCCATCCTATCGCAGACCTACTGGAGTTTCTGTGAGAAGTCTGTGTGCAGAGCCTTGGGAATCGTTCTGTGCATGTGTTCTGGGATCTTGTCATACCCCCTTTTCAGCCAGTTTTAGCCATGTACTACCTTCCTGTCTCAATCCTGTTTATACGTTTACCCACTTTTTTCATTTTGGCTACCAGTTGTTTATTTTCCAGATTCTCCCTGGGAGTTATGGGCTGCTGTGGGGGCAAAGTCTGAGTCCTCCATACACTAGTATGCTGCCAGATCATGGACCTCTGGATGCTGAAGCAGGAGGGGTATCCTCGGGGTTGGAGGGTTAAATAGAGTAGGTAATAGGGCTCCTCACATCCTGGAAGGGTGCCCTCCAGAAAATTTCCAACAATACAACCCAAATGACCCACCTGATGAGAAAAAAGATGACTTTTTTCTCCAGAATTTGGCACTGGAGATTGAACCCAGAGGGAACACTAGGCTACATCCCAGGCCTCTCTCTACCTCTTTCTCTCTGCCTCTCTTTCTCTCTTTTATGGTACTGAGTTAGGATAATAAGAAATACATTTATTTTATTTTATTGGTACAGGGGATTGAACTCTGGTCCTTACAATTGCAAGGCAAGCAACAGAACCACTGAGCTAAATCCCCGGCTTTTTTTTTTTTTTTTTTTTTTTTTTTAAAGAGGAAGAAAGTATTATAGGTAGCTAAGTTAGATAGAAATTAACAGGCAGTCAGACAGGGACAGGCCCTCAGTCAGTGCAAAAGACAAGAACACATGAAAATGGTGTCTGAGGCACATCCATTAAAGTCCAGGCCTTAAGATAAATTTTGTTTGTTTGTTTGTTTGTTTGTTGTTTTTGTTCTGGGAATTGAACTCAGGGTCTCTTGGAGGCCTCGAGATGAGGATGCCAAAAAAAAAAAAAAAGATAAGGATGCTTGACTAGACCTACATGCCTCCCTGAGGGATAAACAATAACTTTGAGATTGTACTGTCATTGATATCACCTGGTGCAGGAAAGTCCAGACAGACATCAGATACCCCTGGTTGGGTGACCGGAGCATCTGGACCCATTCCTTCCCAAAAGTGCCTTTGTTCTTTCCATGTGCCCTTCCTACAAGACTCACTTCCCTATTGGATCAATAATGGCTAAGCAGCTATACTTATAATCCTACAGGGTGACTGTAGTTTAACTCAAGTTGTACTCACATTGTAACTGACAAAGAGCAAACTACTTTTGGGACCCCTCTTGCTTCTCAGGAGCTATCTCTCAATAAATATTTCTTATTCTTAACTTCTGTTGTTCTTTGGAATTTATTCTTAGATTTTGAGGGACATGAATTTGGTGAATTTGACATTGGGCAAATTGGGAGTTATATTTCTCCTATATCAAAAGGAGAGAAGAGGGCCAGGGATTTAGCTTAGTGGTGCTGCCACCTGTCTTGCAAGTACAAGGTCCTGAGTTTGACACCTGATAACAAAAAAAAAAAAAAAAAAGAAAATAGAGAGAAGGAAAAATCATAATTTTATTTTACTTTTGATTCTCTAGGTCAGAGTCTCACTATGTAGTTCATGCTGGCCTTGAATTCACTGCAGTCCTCCTGCCTCACCCTCCCCAGGATGACAGGGATTTGCTACATACCTGGTGGAAAAATTATAATTGAAAAAATGAGGGCTGGAGATTTGCCTCAGTGGTTTTGCCTCCTGCTTTGCAAATTCAAGGTCCTGAGTTTGATCCCTGGTACCCCTCCAAAAAAAAAAAAGAGAGAGAGAGAGAGAAAAGAAAGCTGCAGTGCCAGGATACAAGCTCAGTTTAATATTTTTTCTTCTTCCAGAAGACAATAAGCTTGGGAAATTCTCTTTCACCTGCAAATGAATTCCACCATTCCCTTTTTACTCCCAAATGGTTCTCTTTCACCTGTGAATAAACCACATTTTCACCTTAAATTAGGATTTTCCTTATGAATGGACATTATTTTACAGTGAGTGGGACAACCTTTTCCACCAATCCAAGATTATCAAACTCTACAGATTTCCACTACCAAAAATGCACTAAAAAAATATTCCAGAGCCTGGCGTGGTGGTGCACACCTGTAATTCCAGCATTCAGGAGCCTGAGGCAGGAGGATTGCTATGAGTTCGAGAGCAGCCTGGGCTACATAATAAATTCCAGGTCAGTCTCAAAAACATAGTGAGACCCTTTCTCAAACCCCACCCGCCCCCGTAAAAAAAAAAAAACCAAAAAATATTCCCAGTTCTAAGCTGTAGTGTGTTTTATTTTTCTGAGCACTCACAGTCTATTCTTTATTTTATTTTTTTTGAGACAGGGCCTCATTATATAGTTGAGATTGACTTGGAACTCACTATGTAGCCCAGGCTGGTCTCAAACTCACAGCGATCCTCCTGTCTCCTCAGTGCTGGGATTAAAGGTGTGTGCCACCGCGCCTGGCAAGGAATGCAATTTGAAGATGGGGAAAGGGGAGAGTAAGAGAGAGGAGCTACAAGATTGTTGGGGCAGCTACTCCCCATGAGTAGGGAGTATTTGAAAGTGAATAACTTGTGGATTTCTTGTCAGCAGTTTATTTTATTGAAGTCCTTGTCCCATGTAGGCTTCTGGAATCTGATTGGTTCCCTGGCTTGTCTTTCATCCTAAATTTGGATTTCTTCCAGCCATAGAACCTTTCCCTGTCCTTAGGTGGAGGGTAAGATTATGGGAGCCCACTATAAATAAACTCCTGGCCATTGGCCTGGGGTCCTTTTCTCCTATCAGGGGTTAGAGTCCCACCTGGCCCCACCTATGTATCTCTTTGTCTTTCTTAATCTCCCACCATGGTTTCTCACTCCTCAAACTCTTCAGCCACTAGGACAGTGGCACCTTTGTAGTACATAGTGATTACATTCTTCATGGGGAGTTGGTACATGTACATAATATTCCTTAATTTTTTTATCCTCTTCCCCTTCCTTCCCTCTAGTCTCTTTTCTTTTTCTGTCTTCCTTTGCTCATGGCTGTCTAATTGTACCAGTTTTGCTTATTCATTCATTTACTTATGAGGATCAAATCCAGGGAGCAATAAGGTATACCCCAAGGCCTTTGTGTGTATGTGTGTGTCTATGGTACCAGGGATTGAACTTGGGACCTTGAATATATATATATATATATATATATATGTATGCTGTTATATTTTA